GCTAGCCACATACCGTATTCTTGTTCGGGTGCGGTCACACCATGCCCATCTCGTGTGACACACACCCCTGTTACCAGGTTACGTGTAACCCCGTTACACTTATCCCCATTAAGATTGGGAACATTTACAGTTCCAATCGATTATTGCCCTAACTAGGCTCGCGTGTCCGCTAGACACTGCAACTTAATTCATTGGAATAAAACGAATTCCGTCCTCAATGGGCCCTGTATCAACGACACTGAAGTCACCAAGTCTCGCTGGTTCTGACAGCGAACACGGGCAAAGCCCAACTTCGTCTCCCGCACGCGGTGCAATGTCGGACAGGGCGTCCGTGGCATCGAGGGATGTAGATCCTAGGCTCGATGAGCCCGAGCGTCGCGCTTTGCGCACGCTATCAATGACGAGTGACCTCATTGAGGATGTGGAGGTGGTCGACTACGAGTCTGACACTCCTTTTCCCGGGTAGGATGACGAGGAAGGTGAGCCACACCAGCGGCGTGAGACGAGCCCTGCTCGTGCTTTGCAGACCCCATGTCCGTTCCCTGACTTCTCGTCACCTGAGGGACGTGATGTAATCACCAATGACTTCGACACGGCACAAAGGCGGCAGCTAGAAGCTGCCCGTAAGGCGGCTCTGATGCGCGCCCATCCACGGCCGGTCGTTGACCCTCGTGTGCAATATGGCTTCCGCGCGGCGGATCCCGCTGTAGAAGCGAAGAACGCGGTAGCTGATCGTTACGTCTCCACATCATCGGGCCCCCGGCCATTACGGAAGCTGAGCTTGCCGAACGGAAAGCTCTTCGAGCTCGTTTCTTGATTCCACAAGAGTTTCCGTTGCAAGCTTATCGCACTCGTCTAAGTGCTCAACGAGGTGGCTCTCTTGAAACCGCAAGTCGGACAATACCTGTAGTGCTCGCCCCTGGCGAAAGCACTACAGATGACGAAACGCTCTTTGAGCGATGGGTGTAACGGCACCGGAAACTTTCCGTACTGTGTAACTTACATTTGAGCCACAAGGAAGTGGACTGCGTGTGGAGCGACCTCTCCGATTTGAGTTTGCCAAACTCAAGACACGCCGTCGACTTCCTTCGGATTGTCGCCCTGCGA